TCTATTCTATACTTAGATTTTGATTAGTAATATCCCCTTATTAATCTCTTATAAACTACAAAAATGCTTAATCACACACTAGAAAATCACTTAATAAAGGTATTTTGTAAAATTTCATTAATCTAAAGGGGAAGCAAGACCCGGTGTTTATAAAAGGGCTAAAACAAAGATAAAAAACAGTAATATTACAAGCTTAATTAGCGATTTATCTATCCTAATCATGTAGAAGAAGCAGAAAATAGGCTGTTTAGGCCGCCTATAGGCCGCCCACATAGCCCACCGGGCGGGCGGGTTATAGGCGTAGCCTAGGTAGGCGGCCCATGGACGGGCCGTGGGCTGAGATCTTCGGCCTATGGACGGGCCGTGGGCTGAGATCTTCGGCCTATGGGCGGGCCGTGTCAAGGTCTAATAGTAAGTAGCGCTACGAAGAGAGGCAAAACTAGGCTAGTTTACCCCGGTTCTAATTAGCGATAATAAAGAGGATTAGGATAAAGACGAAGATAAAGATAAAGCTAAAGGTGAAGATAAGAGTAAAGATAAGATATATAAGGTAAACTCCGTTCCTTTCGACCCCTATATACTATCCGCTATATCCTAACGTAGTGTTACGCGTAGCCGACCGGTCACTGTGAGTTAGAACGTTCACGGGTTATACTTGCCTCGTTCTAACTGCGGATTCCAAGAATATCTCGCAACCGTACCGTTACTATACAAAGCCTTACGTCGGGTTCGGGTCCTGTTGAGTATCTTGCAGAACGTGCCAGAAGTGCGCGCCAAGTAAGTCAATCACTAAGTGTTACCACTGAGTGAATCCCCTACTTGTAGGTTGGGTTGTCTTAAAGGTGAACTGTGAAGTGCAAAGTACTAAAGGTAGTAACCAAGTAACAATGTATGATTGATCGCGAAGAACTAAATACATGATGCAAAAGGAGTGTCCTTATATATCTAGCCCTTCCTACTCCTGGGGAGTATATTCGCGGTAGATCTACCCCGGGGGTAGATCTACTCCTCCTCGACTCCTTGAGAGTATATCCTTGGCGTCACGTGTGGGCTTACCGGGTTCTTGCATTTGTGGTGTAATCCGGGTGCTGGTAAAATGGTGGCCGTCTCCTGCGTCGCGCTAACCGTTAAATGGAGTAGGCGGGTATTGATTGTGACGGTTAGCCGTAGGCCGTTTCTGGCTCCCGCCCAGAGTATCTGCCTTGGGGCCCTGTCGGGGCTCTCCCAAGTATACCGAAACGCACGTGACAACGCTAATCCCTAGCGTCCGTAGGATGATTGGCTCTCCGGTGTTCCTCAAATAATTGCGGCCCCCGCGCCTCTCGAGGTTCGTAACACGTAGCTAGCGAGCTCTAGGAAAGAGACGAAAGAGTGTGGATTCCTATAGGGAAGAAGATAAGACTAAACCTTAACTATCCCCTTTGCCACAGGATAAGGAGGGCTATAGTTAAATGCGGACGTCTAGAAGGACAAGGAAACGTCTAAGAAATTTAGATGACTACGACGTAACATACGAATAAACTTACATTTCCTATCTTTTATTGAATCTCTATCGAGGATCTATAGAGCTATCTAGAGTAATATAGTAAGTATAATACTTAAAAATACTAGGAAAAGCGCATAATTTATGTAAGTAGGAGTCCCACGGCCCTTCTAGTCCCGCCTATGGGACTAAAGCTTAGTCCTAACTCCCGTCCACGGCGGGAAGTCCCAGGTCCCACGGTGGGAGTCCCGTGGGAGATGTCAATGTCTATGTACAGCGCTGCCCTACTTAGCTAGGAGAACGCCAATCTACGCGTAGCCAATGAGAAGAAGCGCCAGAAACGCGAGCGGTTAACTAGGCAGATACCCTACGAAGAAGGTCTAACCGTTGAAGAGGGCCAATAACTGGCTAAACAGCTCAAACAGCCGGTGGAAGGTGATGGGGTAGGATCGCATAAGCAGGGCGAATTACCTAATCAGGCAATTCAACCACCTACCAGGGCCCCGCCTAGGTGTAGTAGGTATAGGGAGATTGGCCACAAGATTAATGTATGTAAAAATCGCTATATTTAGTTGAAATAATGGGTGTTAGTGGAGATATTTGATTTTGAAATTTCTAATGGGAGAGGAGTGTACGGCTGGGTTGGGTGTACGGCTCGCTTATCCAATACGTTACCATTATCTGTAATTACAAAGCTCCAACTCCACTCCGTCGGTCATCACCCGTTAGTCTACTTTCTCCACTTAGCCTTTACCCTTTGAGTCGTGGCGTCGATGCACCCGACTGATAGCGAGTTTTGCTTCGCACACAGTAGAACAATGGCGTCGCCATCGGTGGCGTGCCGCTAGTGTCTGCCTGGTAAGGACATCGTGGCGAATTCGCAAGAGTTTATACGGTAAGCGTACCAGTGTACCTATCCATATCAATCATTATGAGGTATTCTATGTAATGGCTCCTTCTGTACCTAGTTACATGCCACCCCTCCAATTTATAGGTCTTCAAACAATAAAGTGCGAAGCCCCCCGACTACCTGACATAAAATCCCTTGCGTTCCTAACGAAGTTCACTTCTTCCTATAAATCGGTGAAACAGATTATTTATTGACTTCTTGATCGAAATCACCTCAGTACAATGGAAATATATCCACGTACGACATCAACATACGTGACGGAATATTCAGACGGACGGATGGGCTTATCGGAGACTAAGGTGCTAAAAAATAAGGACGTAATTTTTCACGGCATATAGGAGGTAATGGCAAAGTTGAATGGCTTGCTCACAAGCCTGTTGTATGTGTGACTGCACGGTTAAGACACCCCCATATTATTTCAGAACTCAAGTTTATTATATATCTACAATCAGGATAGTTTCAGTGGAAAAAATTCATTCCATCTTCAGCTAACCCCCTGTCATTAAAGAGATGAAAGATGAGGTTCTTCTGAGCTGAGCGGTGCTTCTTATGCTCTCGGCTAAGACGGCAACTTAGCATCTAAGTAGCTAGCTCACTCCGACGAATATCTGACGAACCACTCACCAATGTCGCTGCATAAACGAGGCTCGCCCTTTCGTTCGTCAGCTAACAAAAGAGGCTACTTTAGAGATTGATAGCTTCACTAGCGGAAATTTACCGACTTTCTAGTAAAGGGACCCCGCATGTGCCCGTTCACATTTCTTTTGGTCTCTATGTGGGTTTGATAGGTTTCAAGTTTCTTGCGTTGTAGCTATGTTGGACCTTATCTCAGCATTTATCCTTCTTTGTCTCGGAACGTCACAGGGTGACATTGCCATATAATCCACCATTTCTGGAAGTGGGGCTCGTGCTTTCATACCACAACTACACCTTTGAGTTCCATTACTGAACCTCAGCTCACGGAAAATTGCACGTTCTTTAAAAGGCAGTCGTCCCTGAAGCTGGGACAAATTTTTCATACCCATTGTTTATGTGAAATCAACTCTGCATATTCATCGCCTACAATGACATCGATTTTCTCAAAGCCCGAATTTCTCTCCGCTCTTTATGCCGGAAATGGAGTATATGCACCCTGAAGCATGGAACGAGATTACCTAAGTTGAACGGATTCATAGGTGTGGTTCATGAGGTGGATATACCATATCGATTGTTTTGAGTTTAAGACTGAAAAATAATTTCGCTACGAGCAGTGCCTTGATCCATTTCGGTTTTCGCCAGGAAAAGGTGATGCTCCGGCTGTCCAAGAGAAGGTATTCAGAGGATGTGATGATCAGGTCGCTTCCAGCGGGGGATAAGTGGTGAGCGCGTTGGCAAGTCCAGTCACTTCTCCGCCCACAAACTAATTCCGTTTTACAGGCACAGTGATATCTTGGCGTATCTCGGAGGAATGAACTCAGCACCTGCCCTACTCGCCTTCTTGCGGCTTTGGGGTGTCTGGAAACTGCCCCGTTACCTATCGACTGGTACGGTGAAAGGAGATTTGCAGATGGATATCCTCACTTTACTTGTCCTCGGTATGGCCAACGGGTCTCAGGCGTTTATAAATTTCACCATGTCACGAAAGAGCGGGAGATGGATTATGGGGAGAGGCTTTGATTGAATTACGATTTTGGATGCTCTGTTCACGCTTCTAGACCTCGCTGCTGCGATTATTAGGGTTGGCCTTCTTTAGTGAGAAGACATCATAACTTAGACTGGAATCAACTTGTTTATCCGTTAAATTCGCAGTTGACTCGGATGCATCCCACAGTCTAAATCAGTTCATTTCAATAAGCAAGTGCCTTACATCATACTGTGCTTAAAATTACCCTCGATCTCTCCCACCGAGCAACGTCAAAAAACGGACATCGTACCCACCTTTTTGCACCGGGCCAATAATATGCCATCCACCGCCGGAGCGCTGGTAGCATATGTTGCGGCTGGCAGACAATGGCTATCCGCTTCCTGTCAAACTGTAATCACCTTGAGTTCACACCGGCAGGACCCAAGCGCTTGTTTGCATATTAGACCAGACCCATATCAACGAGGTTGAAGCTCCAGCCTGCACCAATCCCTCTATGCGACATGTCGTATGTCGCCTCCTTTCGACATGCTCGGAATATTTGGCCACAGTATGTGGGAAAAAGGATAGCTTCGAGGAGAAGGAGCTGCAGTAAATGGAATTATACGCTAATCTTCTCAAGAATGATAGGCCATGGGCTAGCAAAATTGTTCGGGGAAAGACCGCAGATGAATAGCTAGATGTTGGTTTTCATGGAATGGACATCGTGCACTGAGGCATTAAGGGACTGGAAACAAGGAGGCAGAGAATGTACGTTCTAGGCCAGGCACTTCATTCATCAGCCTCATTCAAGATGGTAATTTTCATTTGTCACTGGCAGTAAGTAGGCGAAACGTCTCGTTCCTACCTAGGGCGGTTCAGCTCCGCTAGTGCGTATCCGCTGTTGATATATATATATATACCAGGCCAAGGGTCAAGATACGAGGAGGGGCCACCACGAGACAGCGCAGCGACCTCACGGGTTGTTTCCACTAAACCAAGAAAATATGCTCATCCCGACGCTGCTGGTAGGTTTTTGTTCCGGACTGCTGTTCTATGGATTGTCACGCCTGCGGTTCATACGGTTTATACAATATTGCCATATCCCCGGGCCAACCCCGTCTCTGATATGGGGTCATCTTAATCTCATAGCGAAACTTATCAGGCCAAACATCTCGAAGCACTTCCGTAAGTGAATTGCATCAGAGCCCAGTATTGACCACACTGGTACTAATACGAGCCACCTCCCAGAGTATGCAGTCCACGATCTCATCAAAAGCCAGACGCACGACAGTGGCCTTCGTAAGAAGAACTTTTTCCCTACGATCTTCTGACAAGGCAGCCACGCAATGGAGTGAAGCTAATTCCCGACAACTTTAGTTTTCCTGGATCTCCGTCCTGCCTTCTACCCCATGATTGTCATTTATTCCCACGAGCTGGCCGAACAGGTCACCAGGGCTACGCCGCAATTTAAGAATAGCCTGCCGAAGGCACCGCTCGAAGATGTGATAGGGCATGTTACAGGGCGTGATTCATTCTTGATGGCAAACGGAGAGCACTGGAAAGATATTCGGAAGAGTTTCAACCCAGCCTTTGCCCCGAACCACGTGGCAACTTTTACTCCCCAGATCGTCGAGAAAGTTAGGCTGTTTCTCAGGGGTCTGGATGCACACGCAGAATCAGGGGCAGATTTCAGCTTGGGGGAGCGGTGTACGCTTCTCACACTCGATGTGATCGGTCTGTACAAAGCTCCATATCGTCAAGGCTTGGGAGTCTGACAAATCGACAGGGCGCACAATCCTCGACATCGATGTCCACAGCCAAGATGACGAGTCGGAGCAGCACGAAGTGGTGCGCTGTTTCCGTGAGCTCCTCGCGAACCTGCCATTTTGGCCGCAGCTGGAATGGCTGCTCAGTCCTCGAAGATACCGCCGACGGATGGAGATTACTAGGACAATTGAGACCTCGTTACAAGACATCATCAAACACAAATTTGACGAATTGCACAGCGAGAACCCCGAGAAATCCGATCGGAGTGTATTGTCCTTGGGCCTTGAGAGCATTGAAACGTTAACCCCACAGAAGATGCGGGAAAACATCGACTCGATCCGCACTTTTATCTTTGCCGGCTATGACACCACCTCTGTTCTGCTCCAATGGGCCTTTTATGAACTCTCCAGAACTCCAAGAGCGCTGGCGGCCCTGCGTGTAGAGTTGGATCGCGTCCTGGGCCCAAACTCCGACCCAGAAGTTACGGCAGATGCCATTATGTCTGGCGAGGGTAAACTGGGCCAACTGCTCTACTTGTCCGCGATTATTAAGGAGACCCTTCGATTGCACCCGCCTGCAGGGACCTCTCGGTTCGTCGCACCGGGATCCGATTTCGGATTACACACTTCTCAGGGGGTTCTGCGGGTCGATGGGGCGATCATTTTCCTTAATCATTTCTCGATCCAACGGGATCCAGCCGTCTATGGAGCCTCGGCGGAGGCTTGGGTACCGGAGCGCTGGCTGGAAGCACGGGAGGAACCCATTCCAGTAAGCGCTTGGCGGCCGTTTGAGCGTGGGCCCCGCAGCTGTATTGGACAAGAACTTGCAATGCTGGAAGCGAGATTGGTGCTGGCGATGGCGGTGCGCCGCTATGATTTTACCAAGGTTGGCTTGGGGGCTCCCATCTTGCAGGCGGATGGATCGCTGAAGCTAGATAAACATGGCCAGGCGGAGGCTGGAACGCCTCTTTACGATGTGAGTTCGTCGGTGACCCTTAAGACATCCTCATTTCTCTCTAACGGTCAAATACCGGGAAGACGTTCAACATGTCTGCCAAACCAGTTGATGGAACCCAGATGAAGGTCAAATTTCGGGAGCCGTGATTAGCACCGCTTTCGGTTTAATTGGGGTATAGTCTTCCCACCACCACGTGCTCGGATAGTCTTTGCTGGATAAGAAAGATAAGAGAGCCGGAATGACTTCTTTTCCGGTCGGCTGGTATGGGACCAATTTATGAAGTTCCAGTCGGCAAAGTATTTAGAGAACCCTCTTGGCAGTTCAGCCGCGAGAATTTTTCACTCGCTCAAGAGTAAGCTCCCGTCAGCGAAAAAGGCATCTGTGGATACGTCTGTCACATCAGGTGAATAGCATTCATACTAAATTGTAACGGCAGAATTCACATTCAGGCACATAAAAGAAGAACAGCTTTTGCTTATTGAAAGAGGGGGGTGAAGGGGGGTTCAGTGAGTTAAGAGGAAAACCATAGATGAATTAGTAGAAATATAACGTAATTCCCGGTTGTGCCGTACACCCGGTTGTGCCGTACACTTTCCCCTAGTGGAACACTTCAAATCGATTATCTCAACCAGCACCGATCAATTTAACTAGATATAGCGATTTTTACATGTATTAATCCTGTGGCCAATCTCCCTGCACCCACTACACCTAGGTGGTGCCCTCTTTGCTGGCATAATTGGCTGACTAGGCAATTCAACCTCTGCATGCGAATCTACCCCATCATCTTCCTCTGGCTGGTCTAGCTGCTCAGCTAGCTGTATAGCCTCTTCAATGGTTAAACCCTCTGTGCAGGGTATCCTCTTAGTTGACCGATTGCGCTTTTTGATCATCTTCTCATTCGCTATACGCAGATTCGCATTGTCCTCTGCTAGTAAAGCACCGCTATGTAGCGCTAGCTGGAACCCCTTGATCATCTGGTCTAGGATCTCTTTTGATGGGCTCGGAGGGCTATTTGACCGCCGTTTTAGTAGATCTTTTAACATAGAAGCTTGCTTGAATAGCTGAGCAGCGGTTCTAGGCGTTTGTGGTGTGAATTGGCTAGATCTGCTGCTTGGACGGCTGCTTGGTGGTGTTGGTGTTCGTAGAGAGATATTAAGCTTGTTAAGCACTCTCTCGGCATCTAATGGTACTAGACCACTAGCTGCGAAGCTATTCTTGATAGTGGGATTGGCTGATTGGAAGGCTTCTTGCCGTGCGTGTTGGTAATCCACTAAGAAATCGTGCTTGTCGATATGGTTATATCCTCTACGCGCAAGATCGCTAACGAAGCGACCGTACGCGCGCTTAACCACTGCAAAACACCCAACATCTAGTGGTTGTAGTAGATGCGATGAATGCGCAGGCATACACAGAGGTATAATGTCGTTTTCTGTGCAGATTTGGTCGAATTGGGGTGTGAGATGGCTACCATGGCCATCAAGAATCAATAGTCGAAATCGCCCACGTATACGCGAATTCGTATGTGGGATAAAGTGCTTTTGTAACCAGCGTAGACCAATCTCATCGGTAGTCCAGCCATTCTTTGAGACCTCGATTCGCCAGTCTTTCGGTAGATTTTCGTTAAACCATCCTGCAATAGCCACTTTACCTTTGAAGACTATGCATGGCGGTAGTGAATAGCCATCTGCGCAGATTGCTTCGATCGCAGTAACCCATTCGCGATTTCCTGGTTGTAGAAGAGATCTCCGACCGTAGTATTCGGCCCTTGTGACTACTTTCTGCGAAGATATAAGGCCCATTGCAAAGCCTGTCTCATCGAAGTTATAGATATCCTCTGGTTGTATACCGTTCTCGTCAATCACACTTTGTACGGTCGCGAACCACTGCCGAATCGATTTCGGATCTTCGTTTAGTGCGCGCTGGTAGTCATAACGTCTCGAGAAGCGTGTACGAAGCTCATCGCGTCGTTTAATGAAGGTTGATGGCCAATTCTTTCCAACGGTAGGCGGAGGGGAGCTATCGCGCGCAGCTAGTAGGATATTGGCCATTACTCCCACAGTAGCCGGTCTAGGGGATGCACCGCGTGAATCCATAGAGAGTATCCATTCAGTAAGCGAATCCTCTTCAAATTGTGTTAATTTCAGGCGAGATGGGCGAGATTCAACGCGTGCAAGTACACCTTTCGCGCGGTCGGCTAAGGTTGTGTGAGGTATTTCGTATAGCTTCGCTACAGCGCGGATAGATTTGACGCGGCCATTTTTAATATCAGAAAGGGCTAATAGGATCTTGCCTTCCTGCTGGGCCAGTTTTTGCGAAGATTCAGAGCGAATTGGCGGCATGGTAGGTGGTTGAAGGTGGTGTATCAGTAGGAAGACGCGATTTTCGATGGGGTGTACGGCACAACCGGGTGTACGGCACAACCGGGAATTACGTTATATATTTTTTTGTAGCAGAAGCGGGTATATTTTCCACGTCACTACGATTATGATATGATGTATAAAGATTCTTAATTGCTCCTTCTACTTAAAGAAGCTATTACTCAGAAATTTGTCCGAATAGGATTCGCAGTAAAGTCAAGTCTATTCCCTAGGGAAAAAGTGGAAGAGCCCTCTAGTAGGAAAATCTGCTGATTACTTTAGATGCGATCAACAAAATATTATCAAGGATCCTTAAGAGGAAATAGGTTAGGGAATAGGTTTGGATGGGTTTCTAATGGGTTCTGATGGGTTCTTATGGGTTGGCCCTATTCTAATGCGGATACTTTAGCCAATCATTGATCGTCATTCAAAATTGCTTCTGAGCTATCTCCTTCCCTCTCTATCTTACTTAATTTACCTACTTGTTTATTTCCCTGCCTCCGTATGTATTCACATTTACTCTCTTCCTTTACGCTTGACTAATTCTCTTCTAATTCCTATAATGTCTCAAAGCCAGCAGTCTGATATCTTGTCTTCTTTCTACGATGGTGACACAGATAACCTAGGTTATTCAACATCATTCAATGAAAATACGATCCTCTCCAGCAGCCAGCCAACATTAGACACCTTTAGTTCTGACTTTATCAGACCAAACCTTCCACCTCCTATTCCTCCCTCTTTCACGCGTGTTGGCCCGACTCGAAGAAAAGCCTATGTCTTCTACGATACAATGGCGCATACAGAATGGGTTGATTGGTGGCTACAGACGGACTATGGGCAGAAACGCAAGATGCAATGGGATGCAGAACATATAGCAAAGATATGGAAAGACTTTGAACAAGTCGCCCAAATCGCAGATGGCTCACCTAAGGTTATGTGCAAACGATGTTGCAAGATCCTAGAACACCCTCAGACACCACTTCAAGGTGGCAAAGGTCTTCATGGCACGTCAACTATGATAAAGCATTTGAAGACTGGAGGGTGTAAACGGATTGCGACCGAGGGAAAGACAGAGATTACTCAATTCATGAGAACAGTAGTATGTTTCCTATATATAATTACCTCGGATTCAACTAATACTTTTCTTGGATAATCTATAGGAACAATCATCATCTACAACTTTGTTTTCCCAAGCTGCCTGGGAGGAGGCAATTCTGCAAATTCTTACAATTCACAGGGATATTCACACAAGAGTCTCAAAGCCTTTATAATAATATTAAATAAACATTCTGCTACTGTTTCGGTCGCTTGGCATGCTCAGTGGCTTGGTTAGTCTGACTTCCAACGATAAACTTAAGATTACTCAAGCAATGAGCTCACTCTTTGTTGCCATCTATTGCCAAAGTACTTTCTTGGCATGTCTGCACTCATCATGTGGGAGAATGGTACAGCTGAAGTGATGATGTTGTCATGTTACATCAACATCATCTCATTGATAGAATACGTGCAGGGTCACCAGCTCTGACCATTTCGCTGCGGGAGACCTTCTGTTAAAGAACTGTCTATAAAATATCTTCCAAAAAAGCGATTCTTAGTAGACTACAGCGCGATCTCATGCTTTGCGGGAATATTGTATGAAGGTAGCTGTTTCTTGTTTGAATTTGCCGGGCGTCCGTTTATATCTTTTGCTTCATGTACTCCCCAATATTGACGAAAAAATTATGATGGCGCAAATCTTGGTCAAGTGTCGATTTAGAAAAGGAACTTTGCCTAGCCGTTATGCTAGCTTCTGGTGTGACCCAACAGTTTATTAGTAATGATCTCGCTCGATGCGACCCCCGAAAGCGACTTAGACGTTGTAGCTGGTAGATCCTTTGTACAGTAGTGTTTAAAATATCGAGCAAACCCTACAGTACTAAGTGACCCATGCCTAATAGTCAGCGCTGCAACACCCATAGTGGCCAGGACATTCAGTAATTGCAAGTCAAGAATTGGCGTAGCTCTCAAGTAATGGCAACCTGTGACTTTCCTCGAGGCGTCGACGCTCTCGCTGGCTCCGCAACAGCTCTAATTCATCAAAATTCTGCTGCGGAAAGGCGTGGCGGTCTGAGTTTGGCATTCCCACAAAAGGCGTAGCAGCTGCCACTAACTCGAACGAGTCGTAATACAGTTTCGTGCTCTTCCACCTGCCTCCAAACTTGGATCACGCGTTGAAGCAGACGTCAACAGCCTCGGATGTTTTGGGCTTGAGGCGAGCCGAGCTTTGGTCCTGGTGTTTTATGAGGCAGAAGCAAGCCAACAAGATCAGTCACATCCGAAACTGAGCAAGAAGTTAGGACGCAGTGAATGAATTAGCGTAGGAGTTCACACATTCCGGCCAGACACGGATGGCCAAGGCACACTTGCCGCTGAGCATGGGAAGTATATCTTTTCTGCGCTATTCTGAACCCTGAGGCTTGGTGGGTTGTTAAAGTTAGTATCTTGGTAGAAAGTTACGATTCTGAATAGGTAGCCCGCTCGGCTGGGGCCTTTATAGCATTCCAGACGTGCTCCAGGCTCGTGAGTGACCTATTATTGCACTTTAAGGCCCTAATGCAGTATTTCCGATTATAGCTGCTCTGGGCTTCACAGGATCTTAACATGTGACTATCGCACTTCCATATATCCAGTTGGGGACAATGCAAGAGTTTGTGACTCCACCAGACTTCAAGTTTAATGCATGTTAGGAGCCTGATTGGCAGAGGGCTCCCTTCTCCCTTTGCAGTCAAGGGATGGCAAAATCCGGTCGGGAAACTATGTTTGCTGATCATGGCTACTACAGTACAGGTTACTGATTCTGAAGAGCGATGAGTTCTCAGGGGAAACGTGGGACGTATTTCTAGCTGCGGAGAAGGACAGGAACGCAAGCCTGTTCAAAGTGCCGATTGAAGGGCAACATCTGGCTAAATCCACGTTTCTCTTCTAGCATATTCTAACCTTCTTGATCCCTGCATCTCCAATCTATTCAAACAAGACATGATTTCCACCACCTCCTTAGAGCTTTCTTCGGCTACATGTGAGCGCCTTTCATGATAGGCATAAGCAGCCTTGAATGCGCATAGACCCTTCAGTACTGTTTAACCCAGGCCTTAATTTCATCATTTCCCTGGGTCCAGCAGACAACAGGCTTTGTCCCGCAGTTCTTGTCGCCACGAGCAACCTTCAGCTGGTGGATGATGTTACCCACTCTAGATTGGGAGAAAACCTGACTATTTTTGCCGACCACCTCGACACCGAGTAGGTACTTCTGAGGGCCCCCAAACAAGCCCACATCCCCCTGGGTAACGGCCCCGCCATGAAAGTTGGCCTGATGGGCGAGTGTTTTTTCGTAGACCTGGGAGTAAGTTTCATCCGTGATGTAACCGTCGATGCACTTGCAGTCATGCCACGGGGTGGAACCGCGTGCCTCCAGGCCGTTAGGTACTTCGTATAAACCCGCATGGTTAACAAGGGGCTCATTGGGGCGAACAAGTTCCGCCGCATTGGCCATTGAGTCAGGAACCGGAGCGGCTCCACCCAATGTCGCAATGGCAGTAAGAAAAACCACGAAGCGCATTTTGACCAGGAGCTAAGTAGTATTTGCTTATGGCGTCTTTGTATAAACTTCAACAGAACACTTCAAGGGTTGCAGGCAGGGTGCGATTTGCGCTGAGATGGAATGGTTGGAAGAGTGTTCAGATGGAGCGTTCGAAAGGAGCGTTCAAAAGGAGTGTTCAAAAGGAGTGTTCAAAAGGAGTGTTGGTCCCGAAGAAAATATTCGGATAGTTGGCTGCCCGCGTGTAGTCCGAATGCTGCGGGTGTCTATCTCTTTATAGGCGTTGCGTATGGCCTCGACCAGATGACAGGAAGTCACGTGGGGACAGGAGAGGCGAAGTAGAAAAGAGACAACCTTTACTTCAAAAACGAAAAATAATAATTTTAGTACAATCCTTCCTCGAGCGAAAATTTTATTTGACAGATTTACGATAATTTGTTCCTTAGTCATTTTCGTTTATATTCATAACACCTCTTTTCCTCCCCATAATTTTTAGTCTTTGGATCTAAATTACTAATGTGCATTGGTCAACTATTTAAAAATCCAGCATATTTTATAGTCATTCATTATAAGCAATAATAAACCCATGTCATCCTTTAACCACCCGTCCTCTCAATTGAACATCCAATACATCACTTATTATAGCAGGGGGCCGGTAGATTGAGGCTTTATAATAGCGATGAGCGGATGTCGAAATAGCGGGACACTGGTTGCTTCTCCAGACCTATGGAAATAAAATTGTTAGGAGACTAATAAAACACGATTAGTTGTGGTACCGAGGTATTACTGTATCAATAAACCGGTAAATTTCGACTGTTTCAGCGAATGGGCCCAAATAAAGCTCCTCCCGAGGGTGGATACGAGCAATATCGAGCTTTTTTGTTTGATGATTTTCATAGGCGAAGGTCTTCAAAAATCGCCTCCACTGTAGAGATTTTGCTTCTACGACAATTGAAGGCACTTCAAGGAAACATGCAAGATTACTTGCTCATTGTACACGGCACACCGAAAATCCTCAGAGGCTACTATGGATTGAGATTGATATGTACCCCCTCGTCCGACTGTCCGCGTCGTTATCACAACATAACGAAATAAAGTAAGCCTTAATCTGGTCAGCAAAAGCGGACTTTGGCCGCTAGCGTTCTATTCTGACCGCGGAACTAGCCTCTTATCTGAACGCCGATCGCTAGAATAAGGTTTTTTTTCCTCGTCTTACAACTGCCTCTATTGAACTTTGCACCTTTAGCCCCGCTGCCGCTAAGTCCATAATATACTTCCGGTCGCATAATCTCCCCTAGCCCATTAAGGGGATAAGTGTATAGGGAGTAGATCTATCACGGTGTATACCAACCCTATCGCTTGATGTCTAGAAAGTAGAAGTTTTTCTCGTAAGCGGTGGGTTACGGAAATAAATAGAGCCTGACTGTAAGTCAAGAGGATCCGGCGATTGAACGAGACGCCAATGCCTTATAGTGGACAGATTACTCCTCAATAGTCATTTTGGCATAGCGAGCTGGTGCCAATTGCTACGGCCCTGCAAATATCGATCTGCTTGAGGGCCAAAGGACAGACACTGCTCTCAAATAGTCCGATGGATTTCGCGTTGTATGAATAGACAAAGGCGTAAGCCTCATATCACGCGTAGCACAAAAGGATCTGCAGAGAAGCATGGGATCGTTCTACTTAGACAAGCGCAAAGGGGAACCGGAACAGGCATGTGTATATCAGACTGCTACAGTACGTGCAGTTCTCTAGCCTGCTTAACAAGAGAAATGGTTTTTAGGAACGCCCAGCGGACCACAGTAAACCCGTCTGTTTTTGGAGGGGTCTATTAAGTATGTGTTTAAAATGGTTTCATCGTTATTATGCCATCGCCTACCTTTCCTGTTGTGCAAGCTATTCTTCTGCTAGTATATACCGTAGCTGGTCATAAAACGCGCTCTACCGCGGAGGCATGAGGGCTGTCACTTCTCCGAACTACATATAATAAGCAGATGAGCTGGCTGAAATCTGCTGAGACGATACCGTGCCAAGTGTAGCGGATAGATTAACCATTGCATTATGGCTGCGAAGTTTGTAAGCTTCTATTATTGCTCGGGTCAAGACTTGTAATGCTGGGAGGCAGTGTTGGATCTCTCCGAGACGTCCTTTGGGAAGCAGTCTCGGAATGATACCGACATGAATCCAGAAAATGCATCATCGGGTATGGCATTGACAGCCTGTCTCATAAGGTTGCTATTTTTTTTGATCTAGCAATAGTTTCAAATCGTAGGGAGGAGCAGAAAATATTGGTGTTAATGATGATTTGTTCCACTTCGGATTAAACAGTTTGCGCAGATTAAGTGTCATTGTCTAGAGACTCCATGGAAGGTCCTAGAATTTACGGTTTAAGTACGCTACATTGATAACTGGATTCAAGAATCACATGCTAAAGCCGCATTATGCAGACCCATATCACGAAAGTACTCCAGAAGCAGTGGATATCTTCGAGTTGGATTAAGCTTCCAGGGAGCCAATAATACTTGCTTAAATAGACGATAGAGCAATTATTCTGTGGTGAGCTTACTCAAATTTGACGAAAGGGCGACGGAACTGGCCCAGTGCAACTTTGTACCTTAACAGCGTACGGACTAAGTACTTTGGACGAGGTAATCATAACGAAATTGGAATCATAAAGGCAATTGGCAATTGAGCTAAAGGATGTGTTCCTTCATCTACCTAAAGCCCACTTGAGTCTGTCGCAATCCAAAACCGGACGGCTGACGGTGTAAGTGGGTTGATGCGTTTTGCTTGCAATATTTTAAAGGCCCTATTCCATCTGATCACGTATGGAGCTAGCGCTGAAGCCCTGACTCTACAAGGCCCACTCCCTGTTCTAGAATTCGTCAATCATATGCAACGCTAGGACCTCTAAGCCCCTTGCATAATACACAATGATGGGATTTTTACAAAGCGGTTGGTTCGAAACATCATAGCAGCGCCCTTTTCAAAGGTCACACGAATTTCAGAACAAGTGGCAGGGGATCATATTGTGGGATTAGCTATCTCGCGGACCTTTAACTTTCCACGAACTTGAGCTGTAAGATCTCCTGTTCAGGTACACACTCACCAGGTACTGACTTTGAGGGGCGTTTGAAACTATTGTAGACTACATTACACACCATTTTGGGGAAAATCCTGAGAGTTTGAAGGAGCTAGTGCGGCTTTTCCCGAGCAATGTTCGGAAGTTTCTGGGGCTAGATTTGAACCCTGACAAGTAAGTTTTCCAAAGACCAGTAAAACTGGAATCTAGCGAGCGGATGGCACCCGACTTGTTAGATCAGCCGCACTATATCCAGCTTATAGGTACAATCAGTCAATTATAAATTATTCTGGTTATGCACAACGTTACTCCCCATGTGTCTTGAGACCCAAAACTTGTCTTTAAGCAAACATCGACCACATTGCTGAACTAAGTTTCCCGTCAAGCTTCACGGTCTTCGGTGTGGCAAAGAAAGAAGGAAGAATGAATATGGAGGGCCAATTTGCGGTTATTGGTAAAGATTCCTGCGCTATTAAAAGTGTACCAAGACCCATTGCTGACGGGATTGAATTCCAGGCCTTGGTTCCATGGTATGGAATGGCGAGCAATCTCCGCGGTCAGATGCCTAAAGCATCCAAACTATATGTTTACGATCTTCAACGCACCCTCCGTGAGAAATTTGTCCGGGATTGTAATAATTTCGGCCCTATTGAGATAGTCAACTCAGCAAAAGAGGCGACTACACGTTCTCATGTTGTAGTGTGCACTTTACCAAGCACCCAAGCTGTTCGAGACACCTCTTTAAGCGATACAGGCGGCTGTATTTCAGCGGCTCGCAATCCGGATAAATTATTGCTAGATGCTTATACTATTGAATCTTCTATTGCCCGAGACATCGCAGATAGGCTGGCTGCACTGAATGTCGGCGCTTACGTGAATATTTCAATATTGATATGTTTGAAATCAGAATACCAATGTAATAGAACTCAATAAATGCTGTGCTCACACAGGATGGTCTTCAAGCTGGAGCGAGTGGCAAACTTGATTTTGTGATCGGATGGAAAAGGCCAGGGCATTCCGACCAAGGGCTCCAGAAGCTTCGCTATGTCTTAGAGGTGATGGGTGACTGGGAAAAGCTGTTTTGGTGCGGCTGTATTGGTGCTGGACTTGCAGCGAAGATCAGTAATAATTATATTGCTTGTACTGTTCTGCTCGTGGTCGCAGAAGCCACTGAAATCGGAGTTCGATCCGGTATAGACCCAAACCTGCTTCATTAAGTCCTTCATTGCTCGTCGGGGCAGACTTTTATAGGTGATATTTCAAGGAACGTATCGAGAGCGGGCAAAGATTATGGCAATGGTATTACAGTCGATACCATGATAAAGTTTATTAATTGGGTGTGCTCGCAGGAAACGAGACGGAAGTCAATTCAAGAATGGCTTTAGCTGCTCGAGATATCTGGACGGCAGCTGTCGAGAATGCGGACACCATTTGCTGGGATGTTGTCACGACTTTGAGAAGCACGAGTGCTCTCAGGAGTACTTAGACGCAGCATCAATCAATCAATTACACTAAGACAAGCACTCTGCGTCCTTAGGTCGATATTTGAATATTCAGTAGGGGAGTATTTTTGGGGGTCAGGGCTGAATGCTGTACAACCTACTAGGAGTACATGGCGGATCCAGTGTTTGTTCAGAAATACGGTGGAAATCTAGCTACTAACAGCAGTGTTGCAGACCGGCCAAGGAGATTCTCTTTGTTCTCTTGTTTACAGGAAGCAAGAGGGTACTTCTCAGCTAATGGACACTTTCACTCGAGAGCTATTCCTGTTCTCCGATCAGAGGTCATGAAATTAGAATAGATCACGAATATTGTATGCGTAGAAAAAAATTAGCCTCTCGCAACAGGCCGCAGATCTATAATAAACCATGAATTTCAGTTTAACCAAGGCCTGCGAAGTGCCGGCCCTATAACGCGCGAGAAGGCGCTGATACTGGAGAGTGTGAGCTCATATCCATCTCATAAACCTGAGCACCTTCGAACTCTTCCTGAAACACGCTGTGTGTTTTTCTCAGGCAAATTAGGCCCCTTCTCAGGCTCTTCCACTGGCTCAATACTCCTTCGCTTCTTCGAATTATATTGCGCACGGCCTTCCTCATCATGACCATTCTCTATAATATCCTCTCGCATACGTTCATCCGTCTCCTCTTTTGGAGATCTCTCTCAGACTTACATCCGCACTCTCAGACGAAAGCAAGCTGCTCCTTTTCTAGATCAAGCCGAATACCACGCAAAAGAAATATTAGAACCTGAAGAGTGGTCGATGTATTGAGCCACGGCGAGAATGGCAGATACCACGCGCCGGGTTAAAGAGACGCCCTACGCCTGCGTCTATAGTTGGCACAGAAAGGGTAAGTCTAGCGAGAGCTGCGAGTACTGAAAATCTGTGGTCATGATCTCTCCAGAATTCGCGCGGCGGTATTGACTTGAAGTATTTATCATACAAGAACTACTTACCACTCTTAAAATACTGAGTGAGCTCAGAGACTGGTACAGCGGACCGACTATCATGAGTGAGTAGTAGGTCAATCTTAATCGTAGGCTTCGCGCTTTGTATATCTCCAGCTCGGAAGAGGGAGCTATAAGTACCTTTCTCATAGCGTTTGACTCGGTCTTGGAGACTTTGTTTGTGTTGGGCAGCAAAGTCTTCTTTATTATCCTGTTAATCGGGGGTTTTGATGAATTCAAGCTTATCCTGCGTAATTTAAATAGTCCCAGTTAAATATATATCACTGAGACCCTCAAGGCCAGTAATCGTGTAGTAGTCCCTGAGCTTCCTTTCAGCTGATCTTAGAGCCTTAAGCACTCGTTGTTTCTAACCGATCTTCTTCCGTTGTAGCTGGCGAATGCGGTTCTCTAGATGATCAAAAAGGCGATTATGGAAACTGAAAACAGTATGAATCTTCAAATCTTCAGACTTTGAGAGGGCAGTGGTGAATTTGTAGAAAGGCTGAGTGACCCAGAATAGGTAATTAATCGGCCGCCACTTATCTGATGTAACCCGAAGATGAGTGCGAAGAAATTTAAGGTAGAAGGTATTAAAGATAGATGTAGCCTCTTGGCCTGGCGGAGTATTACGAATGTCGAATTCTAGCGTGTCCGTATATCCTGTTGGAATGAAGGCGTATTTGACTGGAGATTTTGAAATCATTCACGTCGCTAAGAGCTTAAATTGATAAAGATGGTAAGGTTTAAGGTTATAGTAAGATATTGTATAATTAGTACTCATTTGATAGGTAGAATGAATAGTGTTCAGTCAACCCTTTTTTAATGCGTTTGCTATGATATACTCTCTTACTGTTGGACTAGCTATTTTCATATGCTCTATAGACTAGAATATGTCGGTATTCTTGTTTACTGGGTTGGCTTTCAGTTGACTAATGAGCTGCTTTTGGCTTAACTGCATCATATGGGCAATGTATAGTACTCAGATAAGCAGAATACTAGAGCCTGGGCCCTGATATTGGGGCGAGTCTTGCAAAATGAGGTAAGAGTCAAATTATTAGACGCATTGTTTGTTGTAAGAGCTAGTCGAGGCCTTTGATCTCATACTTTACGAGCAGATTTAGTTCTACTATACTTAAGTAAGTCCTAGTATACATACTAGTGGGGGGCTTAAAGCCTACTTGAACCTCCTGATATTCCCAATCAGCGTCAATGAATTGACCAGACACTGCTATAAAGGTCTGTTGGAGGGGGAATTCCAACAATTTAAGCTTATTGAGAGCTTGACTTTTGGCGGGAGCATTCGAAGCCTCTCGTTCGGCTGATCTTGTGCTTTTGTTTAAATTCGACGTTGTAAGTTCTTCGAGAGGGAAATCTTGTAGTAATTGACGCTTTCTGAGCTAGTTATAGAGCCTCGAGAAATTCGGGATGTTCGACAGTCGCAAGAGGAAGCCGTAGGGTAGTAATTGTAGTGATTAGTTGGTGTTCCCAATGACTCTCACTTAATGGTTCCGGTGAGAATCTTACCCAAAAAGTAGTAAAACCAGCTTTTAAAGAATTGTTCATCTAGGAACTGGCATGCTTCTGTAGCAGGCGCCTGATACTTAAGCGGCTCTTGGTTTTGCATATTGCCCGTTTTAGGTGTCTCGTAGGACAGTCGTTCCTTGTTGCCCTACGGTCCCTACTTTGGTATGGATGATAGAATTCGGATAATTCAAAATCGCACCGCAGTGCTTGCATATCACCTTAGTTTACCCAGTAATAAAATGGGCAACCTATTCGAAGTCAGCCTATATCCCTGCTCCCTGCTACTTTCAATCCCAAAAAGCGGATCAATGCTCAGAGTGCCTGATCTGTGTCTGAATCCACCAATCAACGAATTGCTCTTTATTCATATCTTAACATATAACCTAGCTTTGCGCTGGATATGTAGAGTGCTAAAAAGATGAAGAAAATGAAAAAGGCAGAGGAAGAAGAGCTATTTTGGCTTGTGGAGCCAGGCGCGAAACTTTTGGAAAAAAGATAGGACGCATCATCAAATTCGCCACCGTCTGAAAGGGGTACTAAGTAGATATTTGATGATATAACAAGGGTCAGTGAGAGAGCCTTATGATACTATATGAAAGAGAGACCTTAGTTAACTAACAGAGCGGAGAAAGTAAACCTTTATTTCAGTTAAACTAAAGATATTGAAAATTATATAATGGCTCATCCAATTTAAACACTACCTATTATTGTACCAGAATGATACTCATTACCTTTCTATATAATGTTATCCATACCTAATAAATTGTTAGGAGTTATAGCTATGTTTGCAGCCATATTAACTTTAATGATTATGCCTAGACCTCGACACGGCCCACGGTCCGCCATTTTGGGCCAGCCCGGCCCGCCCGGGGGCGGGCTATGGGCGTCCTATTACCGCCCATAGGCGGGCTGCCTATTGCTCCAGCCCATGCGCGGCCCATTAGCCCAAAAACGAACCAAAATAGAAATCCCCGTAAGCTACATAAATTATGCTATTCCTACTTACATTTCTTAGTATTTTTTGTATTTACATTACCCTTAATTTAAATATATCGATGAGTTCTATTGATTATGAAGAGAAAAGTAAGTTAGGTTTATATAAATTTTTAGTTACTCTACTATACACTTATATACTACTACCCTTAAATATATCCTTAGAGCCGTATAGATAGGACTCGAACCCTACTAGAGACCCGCTACCGTACACTACTTTTATAAGGTAATAGGACTATATCCTCCTCCTTATCCTTATCCTTAATACTAGCCTTAACTTAGTGGTCCTTAGGCCTAGGTCCCTTATTTATATCTATCCTTCGTCTCTTCCTAAGCGATGTTTAGCTTCGTATCTTAGTAGAAGACTTAATAGAAGCAAAAAGAGACTTATCCTCTTCGTTATTACTAATTAGATTAAAATTCTTACTCGGTTACCTAGTATCCGTTTCTTCTTCCGCTAATTTAAGCTCTTATTCGGTCGCTAGTTCTCGGATAAAAGTAAGCTACTCCTCCTCTACTTTAAATTTAGTAGTATATATAAATATTATAAGATCTTATATAGTTATTATATTTAATAAGTCCCTACGGTAGTAGTAGATATCGCGTACTAAGTTAAATAACTACTTAATACTAGCGCTAGTAGTAGGGATAGAGAGAACGTCCCGTGCTAGACTTATAAACGTAGGAAATTTATATTAATAGTCTCTCTAAAACTACCGAGGGCTAATTAAGATAGTTCCTATTATAGGACGTATTAGAAAAAGGTTAGGTAGATTAGAGAGGATAAGGTGATAGATATCTATCTCCTCTTAGAAACTCTCTAAGTTTATCACGCTCGCTATATTATATCCTCTCGGTATCTTATATAACTAAGATATTAAGCTCTAATATCTACACTAATATCTTAGCCCTTAAGAGAGACTACGAGCTAGTAAGGCCTTCTTTATAGTTATTAAGACGGGACTTAAGGCTTTAGCGATACTAGGTACTAAAATCCCTATCTAGATCCTACTAGTCGGGTATTAAAAAGAACTATAACTTATGCTACGGGGCAAGGATAGTCCTAATTATATAGATATCACCGAGATCTTTATTATCTATTAAGGTATAGTACTCTCGTAGCTTTATTTCGGTAGATTAAAGAGCTTTAAGTATCTATTACTTCTAAGGAACCTTTTTCCGCCGAAGCTAGCGAATAGATAATTCTAGGTAGTTAAAAAGCTTATTATATATACTAAAAACGCTCTAAATAGTAATATCCTTAGTTTTAGAAAGCGTAGTAGTGAATTTAAAGAAAGGCTATATAATCTAGAGGAGATATTCGATCTAGCGCTATTCCTCTCGGTTAATTTAGAGATTAGGATACCTATACTTAGTATAGAACTAATTAAACGCGGATTAGAGCCGTTTAGCCCGTCGAAGTATTAACATGGTCGAATTCTAGCGTATTCGGATATCTTAAATCGGTACTAACTTCGGTTATACGGTCTAAATATTTAAAAAGGACTCCCGTCGCTAAGGGCTTACGCTAATAAAAACTACGAGGTCTCGGATCTAAAAGAATAGTTAGGAGATAATATAAAGGAAGTGGTTAGTTTAATAGCTGTTGGCCAGAAAAGTGGGTCATTGTACCATTAGGCCAAAAACGTACTTAAGCACAGTATTCTGGCTTTATCTAGACACATAACCATAGGTCGTCGTTCAGGGGCCGTATACCCCCCACATACTCAGGCTGACACACCCCCGCAGGTCTCTAGATAGACAAAGATAGAGGGCTGGAGATTGCCATTGTGGTTTACTTAGGGTCCTGAACTAGTTATGCTTAGTCACTCCCTCGGGCGGGATAGCGTGGTAGTAATGCATCTCGGGCATTAAGCGGATACGGTCTCGGGTATCAAGCGGACACTAGTCATCGCGACTAGAAAAGAACTGCTATGGTCGAGATTCGAACCAGTGACTTTGGCGAGCAAGCTAGAGGCGACAGTCGGGCTCATAACTGTCGGACTCTAGGCGGTGACCATAAAGTCGTGGTTATACACACAAGACGATAGTGTGCATAAGGGTAAATACTCAACGTAGTGTCTAAATACACGGTTATGAGTCTATCGGTCGTGCGCACTTCTATGAAGGAGGAGAAGTACCACGATTGTGGAAGAGTACCACCGATCTAGAAGAGAGATCATAAAGGATGATAAACTTGATTCAATTTAGCTAGGAAACATAGCAGTATTTATATCTTAGAAACATGGTAAAAGATCACATAAGAAAGGATAGAGTATTGGAGTGTTAGATAGTCTCCTGCCTAGATAGGCAATTCAATGCGAGTATGCAATTCAATGCAAGATCGTTGAGGATCAATTCGATAGATCTTATAGAGAAGATCTAGATGAGAGAGGGGTTATATGAGTGGGTCCTTCGTCATGTGACCCCACAACATCCACATGTTGACAATAGCTAAATAAATCTAAACCTTACGTAGTGTATTTACGATATCTCGCTTTTAGGCCTTTCGATAAGCCGACTAGGCTTATTCTTCCGACTAAATCATCTCTCTCGTCTTATTCTTCGGGTTAGCCTTTATATAACTAAATAGCTACTTCAAACTTAGCTAGATAACGTAGGTAATATAGGGAATACGAATAATAGTAGCTCTATAATATATATCTAAGGATTATAGTGAATCCTAGATAGTTAATATTATTTTGCTATTATTAGATATATTATTAGTCGTAATAGTAATAACCCGTTCCGGTATCTAATACTACTAGAGTAAATTAAATAGTATAGAGCTAAGATTAACGCTAGTATACCTCTTATATAGAGGTTTAAATCTAAGTAGAATTTCCCGGTAGTTCTAGTCTTTATTAATAAAATAGCTAGTGATAGCTATAAACGCCTACTAAAAAGGAGAAGTCTAGTAATCTAGCGCGAGTAAGAGCTTTACCTTTAGCGGAAGCTTTATAAGAAGTGTCAACATGTGGATGTTGTGGGGTCACATGACGAAGGACCCACTCATATAACCCCTCTCTCATCTAGATCTTCTCTATAAGATCTATCGAATTGATCCTCAACGATCTTGCATTGAATTGCATACTCGCATTGAATTGCCTATCTAGGCAGGAGACTATCTAACACTCCAATACTCTATCCTTTCTTATGTGATCTTTTACCATGTTACTAAGATATAAATACTGCTATGTTTCCTAGCTAAATTGAATCAAGTTTATCATCCTTTGTGATCTCTCTTCTAGATCAGTGGTACTCTTCCACAATCGTGGTACTTCTCCTTCATAGAAGTGCGCACGACCGATAGACTCATAACCGTGTATTCAGACACTACGTTGAGTATTTACCCTTATGCACACTATCGTCTTGTGTGTATAACCACGACTTTATGGTCACCGCCTAGAGTCCGACAGTTATGAGCCCGACGCCTCTGCTCTAACCACTTAACCAATTCAATTCAATCTTCCTTTACTTTACTCTCACTATCGCTTCACTTCCCACACAGAAGCGATAGATTCAACCACGCAACAAGCCACCTGGCTTCACTACCCACTAAAATCTCACGCACACTGGGTTCCATGGATCACTGCGGTCAAAGACCACGCACTAGCTAATAATGTGTGGAAATATGCCGATCCGGACCAATCCGCACCGATTACCCCGCCTCAGGAACCAGTTAAACCACAGATATCTGATGTGATCAGAAACCCTACCAACACATACACATCTAATCTTCCTGAACAGCCACTCAGGCTCATCGACCTTACGTCTGACCAATTAGCTATCTATAAGATACTACTAAGTGAATACGAATCGTCAAGATCAGACTACTTTCGCTACCTACGATCCATTGAATCTCTCAAGCAAGGTATTCGATCCTCTCTCACACCAGAAGGACGTCAAATCGTCAATGGCCTATCAGCACACGAAGCTATAGTTAAACTACGTGCTACCTTTGCCCTATCCGACCAATCGAAGAATCGTCAAATCCTACGCGATTGGGATGAGCTAAAACGACAAGCTCCACCAACCAAATTATCTCAACTACCTATATGGGGTCAAAAGTGGCTAATTAGCCAATCGGAAGGCGAGAAAGCAGCA